ACGTCTGCCAGGCCGACCAGGTGGCCTACATCACAGAGGGTGGCACGCAGGTCTTGAGCGCCCAGTGCTGCAAGGACACTGCCAGGCAGAGCCCGGTCTTCCTCTTGGTGGAGGACGCAGCCGTCTCGGACACCCGTGACCTGCAAGAGGAGGCGGGCACCTGGACCTTTCGAGCGTGCGTGCATCATGCGGGTACCTACGAGAGCCAGGCGGCTCGGCGGAGATGTGCACGCTCACAGTGCCACCGCGCCCACGTGGTCGAGAAGGACGGGTTCTCGCTGTGCATGCACGGCCCACGCGGCGGATCGCGCGGCGGGCTGGCGTAGCCGGTCGGCAACTCCCCATCGAGAGGACGATGATGGTGATCAGCGCCCAGGAGGAACGAGGCCAGATAGGAGGGGCGAGGAGCGCGCGGCTCGCCGCGCGCCAGCGGCCTCCAGCCGCAAGGGCGGCCCAGCCAAGGCCGAGGCAGAGGCGGTCTGGCTCATCCACGTTCGGGGCCCCCTGGCGGCGGGGGCCTCAGAGTGGGGCGCGTGCTACAGCTTCCCCGCCCGCTTCATCGGCCCGACGAAGAACTGCAAGAGCGACGGCCCTCGTACGGACGTGGAGGCGGTGGGCTTGGCTGACCTTCTCCGTGTCAGACGGGGCCTTCGCCCCCCCTAGGCCTGAGCTGCTCGACGAGTTCGTGGAGGCGCAGCCGCCCGCGATCTGCCGGCGGTCGGGCGCCGCGCTGCGCTTGTCGGACCACGGGGGCGGCGCGAACTACCGCGGCGACTCCTTGAGCCCGGCGTCGGCCATCGCTCTGAGCAAGGACCGCAGTCGGCACCTCATGGCCAAGCGGGCTCGGTCACGCAGTCGCAGCACTACCCCTACTCGACAGGATGCCCACGACGACTTCGACGAGAGGCTGCGCAGAGCCCAGGCGCAGGACGAGGAGCAGACGAGCCATGATCCGATGTCAATCCTCGTTGCAGCCTGCCTCGCCAAGCGCGCCGACGGCCTCGCAGACAGCGCAGCCCGAGGGGTCATCCCAGCGGAGAGCGGGATGGGCAAGCACGAGCTGCTGGCGGAGCTCATCGAGGCGGCGGACACGCTGCAGGGGGGAGGAGTCAGCGAGGTCGGCGTCAGTCTCCTTCGAGGGCGCCGTGACCTCTGGAGTCGAGAGCTTGAGGGCGGCGAGGGTAGCCCGCGCCCAGGCGCAGCAGACGGGCCGCCGCCCCCCCCCCTCCCGCACGCGCTCCGTGCGAGGGCTACGAGGCAGCAGGAGGAGGCTCGAGGCCGGCGGCCCCCGCGCGGGCTTCTCCTGAGGGCCAGTCGGGCCCGACTCTGCCTCCGCCGGGGTTGGGCTTTCTCGGCTTCGGGCAGAGGCCGCCACCGCGGCCGGAGGCGCGGC